ACCCACCAAGATCTAAACATTCAGCATTGTGAATTTGAAAAATACCTCCCCAAATGTCCTTAGTGTCTCTCTCTGACACACACACACACACACGTGCACACAAGCTCATTACTCAGGTAATCCCCTAGCTAAACCTCATCCTAATAATATAAATTTGTTTTGTTTTAATAGCCCACCGCAAGCCAAGTCTGAACTGGTGCTAATTTTCAATAAAATTACGTTATATTTGCTATTCTGGGCTGAAGCATGTAAAGGAAAAAACAGGCAAGAGTAAGAAGAACAAGAGAGAGACAGAAAACCCCCCACAATGCTCACAAGAGTTACTCAAAGGGCAATAAATCCACACACTTTCTGCACTAAAAAAAAAAAAAAATTGTCAAACAAGTCAGAGCAGTCAATAGAGAAAATTCTACCTTGCCCCTTCTCCAATATTTGACAGATAACCCTATGAATATTGTGTCTCTGGGAACATAATGGAGAAACAAACACTTCTGAACAAGAGCGTTTTCTACTAAATGATACTGAGAGCCAGTGATTGGGCAGCCTAAACGATATGGTGCCATTGTCATTCAAATGAAGCCAAAACCGGCCACAAACAATCGTGCAGATTTTTTTTTCCTACATCAGAATGGTTTAGAAAGATAGCGTTAAATCCAAATCTAAATGCACGCTGAAATCGTCCTTACAATCTGCAGAGGGAGTATTGCCTACCCATAAGTCTGCCTGCTAACCCAGATCATTTATTAAAGATGGATATTTCATATCTACAGTGTATATCGCATAACTTCTTGGCAAAGGTAGCTGCATTTCTGGTAACTGTTAAAATTCCTCATGGAAGTTTAAATACCTCTATCAAACTAACACAACGGCAACAGGAGTCAGAAAAATTCACGGATGTTAAACTACAGTGAGTTTGGCCATAGTGAACTAATTCCCAATAATCCTTATTAGAGCACAAATGAATCTTATATCAGATACTGCATGCACTGGTATTTCTGTGTTTGAACCACCCCACAGGAATTCTGACAAGCTCTGCTTTAATAAGCAAATGTATTCCCTTGGTAAAGCCTCTCCAAGAATTCAGCGGGGTTGGTTTTATATATTTTTTAAACTACCACAGAATATACGGGGAGGCAAAAGACCGCGTCTATATGACAAGGACCAGCAGCCAATCTCAATGGTTCATTAATACTTAGTAGAAATGTGCAAATGTAATTGGTTGGTTAATGTTTTATGCTGGTGGCCTTGCTCAAAAAATAAGTTCATCATTACTATGAAAAATTAGCGAAGAACCATAGATCGAAACGTAAAACCGACTGGACTGGACATGCCTTGGAATTTGCCCATTTTCATTTACAAGAGCCACAGAGAGTAACCACATCTATTTACATTCTCCCCGATTAACACCTGCGCGGTTTTAGGTTACATATTCCTGTGGTGCAAATGTCAAGTGAAGGCATCAATATGGACCTTCAAAATTTCAACAGGGGGGGAAAAAACCCTCCAAGAACTTAACTACTGGCCTCCCAGAATGTATTAATCAACTTCATTCAAGCCACAGTTTTCCTAGTTTAGTCAAATTAGCCATAATAAATTCTTGCTGAGCTTTAAAACCACACTGGGTCTGGTCCCTCCTTACACTGAGCTGTGTGTTAAGAGTCAACAATATTTCTTTACAGTGACTCAGTTAATAATGAAGGACATTTAAGTGCTGGGTGGAAAGCAGTGAAAGGCATTAAATTATATCCAGTCTGTGGGGCTTGATTTTGGTTTGGGGTTTTTTTTTAGGTGGGGGAGGAGGAGGGGGCGGGGGTTGGGGTGCAGGGAGGCACACGGGTCACCTCAGTACACAGAACTTTATATTAGAAATACTCCTAATTTAAAGAACTATAAAAGCAAAGAGAATCGGATGAAACTTCTAAATACACGCAAGTTCCACAAATACTCTCGTGTCAGAAAGGCCGCGTGTTTCAGCGTGCATGCAATACGCCAGCGTCCTGACATTGTGTCTTGCCATCTACCCATCAAGTCACCGCTCACGCAAAACGTGACAGATGTGGCCACTATCTATTCTGATGTCACCACCCAGAACCAGGGCGGACCTGGGCAGCCAGGGCAACACTCAAACAGGTCTTCCTCTGGTAATTTGGGTGTTAACAGAACCTTTGAAGCGATCCCCGACTACTGTGTGAGAGAAAACACTTCATTTAAAAATTCCCAGAATCCCAGTAGAACCGGATCTTCAAATCCCCTCCCTTCTTGCGCTCTCTCTTGCACACGCATGCACGCACACTTCTGATAACGACCTGGAGAATATGGAGTGCTGATTTCAAAAGTCCAGGAGTTCAAACCTCTCCAGTTCACACCACGCTGACCTCCCTGAAGAAGTGCACAGAAGAATCAATGCAGCCCAAAGTAGTTTTACGTTATGTATGAATCAGAGGAGGCTCTCTCTCCCCCCATATCCCAGTGGGTATATTGCATATACAGAAACTCAGCAAGCAAGTCTGAGAAATCAGAGTACTAGAATACTAATAAAATTAAAAGCCATAATAAATGCAGGTCCTTTCTCCCTCTGCTGGGTTACATGCTGCTAATGCTTGAATCCAAAGCACTGATGTTTAAGAACTTACGCCTGTTTTACATGCGCACAACTGCAAATTGCAACAAATGTTATTTTAGGCAAATTCCAGGCAACTAAAAATGCTGCAAACTTCAGTCACATGATGCATAAACCCCTTTCTTTAACAGCAGCAAACACATAAGGATGGGATTCAACAGTGAAACAGTTCTCATTTACAGAGGAAAATAACCCATCTACTGTCTCCTATCACCGCATCTGCTAATCGCAGTGAATTTCCTGCTTCTCCTGCCGGGCTGGAAGAGGTGCCCATTTGAACCTCCCACCAGGACACGGGGAAAGGAGAAGGAATACATCTCTCCGGTGTTACAGACTTAGATCAACCTCTGCAGCAGCAAAACTTATCCTTACGCAGGGATACTCGTTAGCTTTCCTGAAAGCGAGAACAGCTATCACAGGAGTGATGAATTGTTCTTCCTACAGCATTTATGATCCGCATGACAAGGAAATGAAGAAGCGACTTCCTCAAGAGCACCAGTGATTAGCAAACCGGACCTTTTTCAATCAACATCCATGTAGGGGGACTGTGCGTGTGCGCGCGTGCAAATTCAACAGCTCATGTCACATGCACACAAAAAATACCCAAGACAAAAATGCAACATCGTTTTGGTTTTTTTTTTTTAAATCCGAGATATTAAAATCTAAATTCTTGGTTTCATTTTTTCCCCAAAAGATCTGCTTTTAATTAGAGTGCAGTGTGTGCCTGTGTCTGTGTGTTAGAGTCTGGCAAGGTAGAACTGACAGGAACTGTGATTTGTGCTAACTAGCTATTGATCCAGTCAGATCTAGATGTTGTGTACAAGAAACAATAAAAGAGAAGGGGCCAGGAAGGATGCTGTGTGCAACTCCATTTAAAAATGGAAAAGAAAGGCCCCAAACAAACCAATTTATGTCCTTGCCTGGGTGAAGCATGGAGAATGCTGATGGGCTTCCTAGAGTCTGCTGTGCATGCTAAACACTCTGGCTTCAAATGAGAATCTCCTGAGCTGGGCATGAAACACGAACAAAGAGACAAACAGCGGGGGTAGCTTTCATGCTTCGGGAAAACCAAAGCTGGAAAGCCAACTCGAACTGGGAGCAGGAAT